ACGAGATGCCTTGCTGACAGGGTATGCGCTAATGGTCCACCCACTTCTTATAAACACACGCATCAGAGAACAAGCAGACGGTTCATGCTTCATGATATTACGCACTACGGCTCCATCAATGATTTTCTTGCTCGGTCTGCTTGCAAACATCATCGAGACATCAATATTGGTGCTGACAATAAGTCGACGTTACCGCGAGATAACATATTCCGATGGGAATGACACCGCAGGTGTAAGTCGCCAGCGATTCAGAATACAGCAGCCAACATGAGCCGCAACGGCGGACGTGACAGCAACGACCAGAAATCACTCTAGACTGACAGTGATGCTGAAAACATGTAAGCAAGGTGCCAAACATATGGCTACATGATTCATTGTCTGGCTAGTAACCGTGGCACGAGATGTTCTTGAATCTCCTGGAACACGCCCTGCCTGAAGTCAGGGTCGAAGAACTGTGCGTCGGTGACCTGGCACCCATGTCCATCCGCTTCAAAACCTTGTGCTTCTACGATGCGCTCTCTCGTCCCATGTCTATTTCCGTTTTCATCTGGTGTGCTCTGGCCGAGTACCAATATGAAACCTCGAGATTCCAAATCAGCGTGCGCCGTTACAACGGGGGTGGGCGTGTGTGGCATGCTTTCAAACAGAACACCGAATCATGACCTTGCAACTCAGACCCCCAAGCCTTGAACTTGAAGTCTGCATACTGCTACACAATGGTCTACGTAAGCCTGTACCCCAAGCCTGCCATACCCGTTCAATCTTGCGCTGCTTCGCAAACATTCCCCTCCGTAACACCCGACGCCGAGACTACAACATGTGCCTGCACCTCTCCCGTCCACCATGGGGGGACAAAAACATCAACCCCGGTACAAGAAATTGGGGAACCGCCACAATACGGGCAGGTGCTGGGAGGTGGCTGGTGGCCGTGTATGTCGAAGCAGCCCCCCCGCAGATAGCCCCAGCGGGGCGCAAACCAATCACTCCGAACCGCCCCCCCGCCCAACTGCCCCGCGGACATCCCTGTGGCACGCAAACGGCAAAAAGACAAACATTAGGAACAGCATCTGCCCTCCACTGACATCCGACGGTATGATTTTCTTCAATGCGCGGCGCCTGAGGTCCCGACCCCTTCCCTGGGGGTAGTTTTTCGTTCCAGATCCATCCTTGATGGTCCTGGGGCCCAGTATCGCCCCCCCAGAGGGCGAACTCGAGGGAAAACGCCCAGATGAAAAAGAAGCCCCCCCAGAGGCCCCCACGAGGCCCCCCAAAGCCTCCCAGATGCCCTGAAAAACCCTTCAAGGGGCCCCCGAGAAGCACTCCAAAAGCCCCTCATATGAATCCAGGAGTCTCCTGCCCTAAGATATAACTTCCACTCCTTGTAAGGGTCGGCGGATTGGCATAAACAACTTGAATCACATCGTCAGACATCTGCCCTTCGGAAGTAACGTAAGTACGTGTTGCCGGAGGCAGGTCTGCGGAGGCGATAATGCAATGTATCCTATCTACCCACAGATCGCATAATTTCTACATGTTGTATTCGATTACATTCTTATGTCTCCCCCTAATCCCCCCCTGGAGTCGACCCACATGTCCGTACCAAAGTGGCGGCTCCCTTCTGGAGCCCCAAAACGTACGACAACCTATGGGAAACCAACAATTTGGGCCCCTTGGGGGTCTTGGGGGTCCATGAGTGCATCAAGACGGCTCAAGATGGCCTTGAGACGGGCCAAGACGACTCCAAGACGGTCCAAGATGGCCCCAAGACCCAAAAAGCTCCCAAGAAGGCCCCAGAGGGCCCCACGAGCGACTCCAGAGGCCAAAATCATTGTTTTTCCTTTGGGTTTTGAAGGATTATAGAGCTCTCGACTTAGAGGCAAGAGAACTATGCACATAAACCGATTCTGGTCAGGCCCATCATGAGCCTAGGATCGGTGCATATGCCCTCCTGCCTTGGCCAGGAAGGCATATGCACCGATCATGCGCCCAAGATGGGCCTGGCCAGAATCGATGCATGTGCTTAGTTCTCTCCGCCCGTTGTCTTTTTCTACCCTGAGAGGTCCATGACGGCCCAAGCATCCTCCAAAATGGTCCCAGGACGGCCTCCAGAGGCCCCCAAGAGGACCCCAAGACGGCCCAAGAGGGCCCCAAGAGGCCCCCAGGACGGCCCAAGAGGACCCCAAGAGAGCCCCAAGGCGGCCGCGAGAGGCCCACAGGTTGGCCTCCGAAGGAGCCGAACGGCGCAAGAGCGCCCCAAAACTGCCCAAGACGGCCCCAAGAGGCCCCAAGAAGACCGCAAGAGGCCCCCAAGAGGCCGCAAAGAGGCTTCCACCAAGCCCGCACAACGTCTGGACTGCACGTGCTCCGGACGTGCACCCCGCGAAGCGAGAGGAATCACATCGTCGGACACCTGCCCTCCGCCAAGGACCGGACGGTCAGGCGGCAAGTCCTCGTCGAAGGTATAGTCCTCGAACGTGAGGCGGCGGCCACGCGGGACGGCCTGCGGGGGCACGCTCGGAGCCCGCGCCTCCTCGGCCCCCTTTCCCGATCGCGAGCCCGGCAGTCTGAGCTCTTGCCTCCTCGCCTCTGTACAATTGCACGTCGGTCGGAAGAAGTAGGAAAAAACCATACATTTTCCTTTTTGTTCGGCACGATGCCCAATCTCCACCCTAAGCGAGCCCGTCAGCTGGCACGGACGCTCCATCTCCGTGAGGAGCGGGGAACAAACAACAACGTCCGCCGAACGATAACCGTAGGTAAAACCATACAGTGGGAGGGCGGATAAAGTAAATTGGGGTTCAGGCCCTGCCAAATAATAACATAACACAGCAGAAACATATCGGTTCATGAAGTAAGACGTCGCTTGAAGTAGATTGGGATCCGGGAATCCCCCAAAATACGTACTTCCAACGACCGATGCGTACCCAATCTGAACACGGTCGGGAACTTTTGCTTAGCGTGTCGCTGCGGCGGCCCCTGCGACACGCTTCAGTCGGACTTGATTGGACAAGGCACGCGAGAGGACACAAGATCCTTCCGAGGGCCACGTTGCCATAGGAACGTAGGAGGCATGGGTTGCGAGGCACAAGACACAAGGGTATCCTTGGTTCGGCAGGGTCGACCTACTAATCAAGGCCGACGGTATGCCCTGCAAGCAAATGGCGTGTTGCTCCGTTCCGCGGGGCAGGAGGCTGGGAACAGCTCGGGACGCTGGCGCTTGGGGACCAGGACGTGGCCAGCGGGTCGCGCCGAGGCGTGGTGGGTCAGACCCAGCGGCGAAACACGCTGAGCCAAAATTCTCACCGTGCGTTCCCCTCTCCCAGGATACTCTTCCCCAACGCGCAAGATGTGGAAAACCGCAACTCTTTGTTTACCGTCATACCGTTCTGGGTCGCTCAATATGGTATTCCCGCTGCCTGGCTGGCCTCATTTCAGGATAGGCATGTGCTCCCGTCGTTCCGAATGGCGCATTTCGCCGCCCCGCGGGCCACATTCAGGATCCGACTCTTTTCTCGTCGTGGCCGCCTCCCTCCTTTCCCCTCCCCCGCCTTCCCCTGATCCCCACACCGCATGCGGCAGTCCTCCTCTCCCCTCCTTTCTGATGGCACTCACCCTAATCAGATCACAAGAGACGTACGTATGCACACGCGACTATCCGAATTCGGGCACGCATGCATGCATATTCACGTGGGCACGCAACCGTGGACGCGCGTGTCCGCACTGCTGTTCTGGTGTTTTGCGTGCCGAACAGGGGGCAACCACGCACATGCACGCATACCTGCATTTCATCATTTGTGCATACACTTGTCATTGTGCCTTGGGGACCTATTGCACCTCCATCGAGGAATTGCTTTCGCAAGGTTGCCAACTAGCCGCAAGACAGATAGCCACAAACCAACGGACTGTCAAGACTCAAGGCGTCTTGTTCCCTGAACGCTGCTGACACTTAGGGGCTCTCACTTGGGTTCCCTACTGAATTGGATTGGTCAGCCGAAATTTCGCCTGGTGCCCGCCCGTGGGCGAACCGTGGGTCAGCCGAGGTTTCGCCTGGTGCCCGCCTGTGGGCGCCTCGTTCGCTGGGTGGGTCAGCCGAGGCTCGTGCCCACCCGTGGACGCCTCGTGCGCTAGGTGGGTCAGCTGAGGTTTCGCGTGGTGCCCGCCCGTGGGCGCCTCGTGCGCTGGGCGGCCGCATAGCTTGCACAAGCAAGCCTTTATCATGCAGCTTGAACCTCGTAGCTTATACAATCTAGCTTGCACCACACAATTTGCGTCACATAGTGCGCACCACCTGTATATATACCCATATACTTATAGATAAATATATAGTACACCGCGCAACTTGCACCGCGGAGCTTGCACCGCATATCTCACGCCTACACGACATAACTTGCATCATGTACCTTGCATCAAATAAACTCTCCTCCTTTCAAAAAATAATATAACCTACCAACCTCTCTCCCCCGGACTTACCGGTCCCCCTGGGACACTGCATATCACACATGGCCCTCCCTTGCGGTGCATTTTCCATGCGAAATTTATCATAACAAACGCGGGCATCGCCCCCCATCCGTGTCACTATGCGCGCGCAATCGCTTATTGAAAAAACTCATGTTTCGGGAGCCCCTTGTAACAACAAACGCTCGACGTCCACACGCGCGAGCACATTTCGAAACCATACCGAACACACCAGTTAGGTTTGCAAGGACATCAACATCTACTGCATCACAGACTTTTCATCGTTCTGCCCGCGCGCATTTCCTGAAATCATATGAGGACCACGTGGCTGCCGCAGCTTGCCCAACACCCGCATTCTCATCTCACCACGCGGTGCATCCGCGTTGGCCCAGCTTGCGCCAACTGCGCGAATCCGTATCAAGTAGTACTATGCGGGCCACACGCGCGCGCCGCCACCCGAGCTTTTCAAAACAGAGCCTTCCAACACCGTATGGACAGCACATAGCTTTCAACACACAGTTTGCCAAGGTTCTTGGATTTCCGCGCGCGCTCAGTTCCTCACCATCACCCGCAGCAATGCCGCCGTTTCACGTCAACGTCGTCGACAACCGCCGCAATTGCCGCTACCATCACCCAAACACCTCCATCACCGACACATGGACATGGACATCATCATCATCATCATCATCATCATCATCATCATCATCATCATCATCATCACCGTCATCACCGTCATCACCGTCATCATCATCACTATCGGCGTTACCAACATCGGCACCGTCATTGGCCTTGCCGTCGTCATCGTCATCATCGCCACCACCGTCGCTACTATCATCATCGTTGTCGCCGTTGCCGACGTCATCATCACCATACCGCTCCCTCCTGAGCCACCGACCTACATTGAAATGCCCGCGCGCCAGCGCGGCCTTTGACACGCGCTGGGACGCTGCCATCCGTCATCGCCATCTCGGCCGCATCGGTTGTGCCAAACCAGCTGGCCGCTCTGCGCGCGAGCTTGCGCGCGCCAGCGTGACCGCAGAGATGCGCCAGTCAGGGTCAAGCAGTCATCGCACTCGCCGCAGCATGGGTTTAGCAAACCAATTAGCGGGTGGGATTTTTCGATGATTGCGCGAGCAGTGGAGTTGACAACTCATGAGTTTGCAACACTTACTGAGACCACATAACTAGCATCACATCGATTGTACCGCACAACGTGCACCACGTATCTTGCACATACAATGCAACACAATTTAATTGCTGTTCACGCTGGCAGGCTGTTTTCGATGTTTTCTTAGGTTCATTATTGTCTCGCCCTTTTGTGGCGAGTTTCCAATTTGTTTTCTTTGAGGTGATGTGCACTTGAATATCCCCTATGGCGGATACTCTTCTTGATCTCCCCCGAGCGTTTCTGTCTGGGGAGGGAGATTCTGAGGGGCCGCTCCGCCCTTCATGGGGACACTAAAAGGTACCGATACTCTCCTGGGGTGCGTTCTGACCAGGATTTCGAGGCGAATCCAGCGGAGGCGACGACGGAGGCCCAGGAGGCCCCAAAAGGGGAAAACGATGGGAGGGTAGAGGTATAGGTACCTTTTCCTCCTCTGACTTCATTCGGGGACTCGTGGATTCTGTGGCTCTTGGAAGCCTTTCGGCTCTTCGTTCCCCGCGGGGGCCGGCGCCTGCCTCAGGGGAGCTGCGGCCGCCTTTCGATCCTGCCGCCCCCCTTTGCCGCCCCAGCCCGAGGCGGGGCACATAAAATCGGCACTCGCTCCCGGGGGGGCCTCGTGCCCCTCGCCGTCTTCTGGAGGCCGTCCGAGGGAATGCGAGTCGCGGTAGCCACCGCTCTCGCGACCGTCGGCGCGTTCTGCTTCCCAGGGTCCCTGCTCGAGCGGCAAATCCCGAGTCCCTGCCCAAGTGGCACGCTCAGCCTGCGTTTCTTCTCGAGTGGCGGAGGCAATGTTTAGAGCCACTGCCCGAGTGGCGAACCCGGGGTTGCTGCTCGAGTGGCGAACAGAGGGTCCCCGCCCAAGTGGCGCGCCCAGCTGGTGCTTTGCTCGATTGGCGGGGCCAGTTGTTCAGGGTCCCTGTCCGACTGGCAGGCCCAGGGTCCCTGCTCGAGTGGCAAACCCAGAGTCCTTGCCCAAGTGGCACGCTCAGCAGCTTGTGACAGACCCAGGCAGTGTGCCGAGAAGGTGCACACTGAATCGTTGTCGGAGGAGTCGACTCGGGTCCTTGCGGGGTCTGCAAAAAGCCAAGTGCCAACACTGGCATTCTAAAACCGGCATGGCTACAATGCACATCAAAACCTGGCCCGGGCCGTGCGATCACTGCTTGGGAATCCGGACCCATGCTGCAAGGGAGCCGCACTGCCCGCTGGACCCGAAAGGCCGGAGACGCGCGCTGGACCGTTGGATGCCCGCTCTGACCGTGGTGCTCCTGGCGTGCCCATTCCTGGCCGGCACGGTTGTTGCGGGGTGCTGGCGTGAACCCAGAGCGTGCTCTGACCTTCCCCTTCCTCCTCTTGTTCCTCCTTCCTCCTTCCTCTTGTTCCTCTTCCAGGGCCCCGCGCCGGGCGGAGCCCTGGTCACACCGATTGCCGCAAGCCCCGGATTAGTCCAGGAGGGCCCCCCCCCCTCTTCGCGAGGGCGCACCCATGGCAACGGGGGGCGGGCGACAGGGGCATCCATTTTTGGATGCCCCTGCCACCACGTCGTTCGAGGCGTCGCTTGGCATGCCAAGCCTGGTCACCAACGAGGGGCATCGCCTCGTCGTCCGAGACGACGCTTGGTATGCGAAACCACGTTACCAAACGGGGGTATCCAATTTTGGACCCCCCGCCAAGAGACCACCGGGCGATGCGACGGGCGTTCTCATTTGGAGCTCTTGGGCTGGAGCAACCGCTGCCCTGAGCGGGCGCCAAGTGTGGGATTTGCGAAAGCATCCCTACTGGCAGCGGTACAATGTGCTGCGCAATGCTAGGATGGGCAGTATCGGCTCAAAATGGCCACATCGTCCTCCACCCTCGTGGCCGTCGTCACATCGGGGATG